GGCTCCTGGAAGCAGGGGAAAGTGTCTGCTGGGGGATTTGGAGAAGCTCACACCATTCAGTGTGGTCTAAACATTTAGTGCAGGAAGAGGAAAGAACAGATGTGTCAAGAGATGAGGAACAAGAGAGAGAGAGTTGCACTTGTGCAGGATCACGTGGGGCATTTGACCCTAACCTAATTGCCACAGTAAACCATGGACAGTGTGCAGGAGAGGAAGGACACATAAATTACAGTTACACTTACAATGCTGGTTGAAGTCTTTGAAATGGGATGAGGAGGGGCTAGAAGGTGATGAGAGAGGTACTGGATGCTGATAACAAAATGACCATGGCAAGAGAGGAAGAGACACACTTGGGACATAGCTGAGAGGGACAGGAATCGAGGCTCCCTGTGAAGCCATGGGAGACAGATGAGGGCTAGTTGAGTGGCTGGAGGGTGGTGCTACTCCAGAGAGAGTATGGAGGAGGAGAAACCATTCTGATTAGTGAGGACACAGCTCTTTTCATGCCTGCCCATCTTAAAATGGTAAAGGCAGCTTAAGGAACTCACAGGTACTTTTGAAACGCTTAGTTTAACTCCTAGTCATTGTTGTCAGGGCCATGATGTGGGAACTCCTCTATTCACCCAAATTTATTTTCTGAAAGCTTTAGGCAAAGCAAGAGAAAGAGAACTGAAGAAAAGCAAGTGTGTGGCTCTGGGAACACTGCAGTTCAGAAGACTTTAATGTAACGAACTTTCCACTCCCCACCCTCTGCTTAGGCATCTGCACACACAAAGCAAAACCTTCTTAAGTCATGGAATAAAAAAAAAAAATAAAAAAAAAAACCCAAGCAAATAAAAAGTACTTCCTGGGTACAAATGGAAATTTTTTTCTTTTCTTTCTTTCTTTCTTTCTTTCTTTCATTTCCTTTGTTTTTTTTCTCAGTTTGTTTTTCAGGCACAAAAAGAGTGATTCTGAATATTTAAAACCACAAACACTTGTATTCTTTACAGAGATTTTGGGAAGGGTCACGTAGCTGAGATGTTGGCAATAACATCATTTACACAGATACTAGCTTTGCTCCTCTTCTTGGTACCAAATGTCTTACATATCCGAGAAGCAAAGCTATGCTGCAGAAGCAAACAGATTCATTTCAAATACAAATATATTACATATTCCACTAAAGTGGAATTCAACCATAACTGGTCCAAACGTTCTCCCCTTGAGGAAGAAATGCTACACTTAAATTTTATTAGAAAAGTCTTTTTTTGTATTCAGGAATTTGGAACTTCCTTTAGGACCCAAGTGCCCTTCCTCCATGAACGTAAGAAACGAATGAAGAACCCAAGTTCATTGCTTGTGAATGGAAAAGGCGGAGGGCTCAAGCACAACTTATTTGGGGCAAAGAGAGATATTTACTTGTAAAGTTATCAAATCACCTAAGACAGAGAGGTGGAGGCCGCTGCCAACAGGACCATCATCCAGCACAAAGCCCATAGCACATGGGTTATATAGGGACTTTTGTGGGGAGGCACCAGAGTAATTATAAACATCGGATGCTGTGATCTTGTGATGTGGGGCTGCTGTTCTCTGTAGTCAGTGGAAAGTCTGGATTCTGTAAATCTGAAGTACTGATTAGAAAGGTTATGACTCATGCCTTTTAGTTCCACTTCCCAGAAATAGTCAATTCTTTAGTGAGTTGCTAACTATGCAAACGTTATCTTCCCCACCCCCAAAACACGGAGGACATATTGGCTGGCCTCAGTCAGATGTGTGATTTTCTGCAGAGTTAGTGGCAAATGAATAATATCATCCAACCATGTCACTTCCACATGGAGTGATTCTAAAATCTCAACCTAGAGTAAGAGACGCTAAAGGGCTAATTAGGACTTTCCTCTATAAAAACATGATTAGTAATTTCTTACCAGATGAGCATGGGCCAGCACCAGTGTGAATGATGGTAATGTAAAGTGTGGAACCCGGAGTTCCACTGTGTTGGGCTTGACCTGGTTCCTCTATTTGTCAACTATGTGTCCCTGGGTTCATTGCCACAAGGACCTGTGATCAGCTATGCTCATAGCAGCTTTGTTTGCCATAGCTGGAACCCGGAAACAACCTAAATGCCCCTCAACCAAAGGATGGATAAGTAAAATGTGGTACATTTACAGTGGAGTACTACACAGCAGAAAAAAATAATGACATCTTGAAATTTGCAGGCAAATGGATGGATCTAGAAAACATCATATTGAGTGAGGTAACCCAGACCCAGAAAGACAAATATCATATGTACTCACTCATAAGTGGCTTTTAGACATAAAGCAAAGAAAAGAAGCCTACAAATCACAATCCCAGAGAACCTAGACAACAATGAGGACCCTAAGAGAGACATAGTTGGATCTAATCTACATGGATAGTAGAAAAAAAAATATGATCTCCTGAGTAAACAGCACATGAGCAGTGTACCAAAAGTTTCTTGGGCCAAGGGCACATGTGTAAAACATGTGGTCTCTCCAGTGGTTTTATTAATTGGTGGCCCAGAGAATAGTCTTGGGCCAGTCACCTCGGACTTTGTTCAGTCTTTGTCATCACCTAGGCAATGAGGTTAAATGACTTTTTCCTCTCTTGGAAACTCTTTCCACTCTTGGGAGTTTCTCAAACTTTTCCTTAATTTCTAACCTTCTTCAGTTTTTACTTTCTTGAAATTCTCTGTAATAATGTTTGCCCCTACTTCGCACACTCCCAAAAGTATCCCCATATCTAATCTTTATTGGCACAAGACCAAGAACTTAGAGCCACTATACTGGTGTGTCTAACTATAAGTATGGCACTGTAGGTCCTTGAGAAAACACAACTGGGCCATAAAAGGTCCCACATCTCTCAAAAACCCTGTTAGTCGAACACACAGCTTAGTGGGACGTTGGTTGGAAAAGCACATCACCTTACCAACAACTCCTCTTGATGGTTTTAGGGGTACAGTGAAAAGGGAGGAAAAATTGGGGTCTTGGGAGTCCTGGGAGTCCATAATCTGAGGCTGGTTCATGCCCCATGAGCTTATTTCTCACTCTTACAAAGTGCATGAGTCTTGGAAAAGATACCAAGGGACAGCCCTGGAGGCTTGAGAAAGCTGCAGGATCATCCCCCTCCCACCCTGACTTCTAATGTTAGGTTCTCTTCCAGTATCTATACCTGCTGTGGTTCTTTAGCTCCATATCTGAATCTGCTTCAGACAGACACTTTTGTTTCTCTCAGGTAATGTCTTCTTCTCTGCTAGAGGTCACTTTTGAGGGTCAAGGGTCAATTACTTCTAAGAGGCTCAGCCTAGATCCAGCATTCTGGAACTCAGATCAGACGTTTGAGTGACTGGATCATAGGCCTTGGGATGAGTGAGGGAGTTGATCACAGGCGTTGGGATGAGGGAGTGAGCTGATCACAGGCCTTGGGATGAGGGAGTTGATCATAGGCCTTGGAATGAGTGTCAGGATCACAGGCCTTGGATGAGGGAGTGAGCTGATCACAGGCCTTGGGATGAGTGTCAGGATCACAGGCCTTGGGATGAGGGAGTGGATCACAGGCCTTGGGATGAGTGACAGGATCACAGGCCTTGGGATGAGTGTCAGGATCACAGGCCTTGGGATGAGGGAGTGGATCACAGGCCTTGGGATGAGGGAGTGGATCACAGGCCTTGGGATGAGTGACAGGATCACAGGCCTTGGGATGAGTGTCAGGATCACAGGCCTTGGGATGAGGGAGTGGATCACAGGCCTTGGGATGAGTGACAGGATCACAGGCCTTGGGATGAGGAAGTGAGCTGATCACAGGCCTTGGGATGAGTGTCGGGATCACAGGCCTTGGGATGAGTGACTGGATCACAGGCCTTGGGATGAGGGAGTGGATCACAGGCCTTGGGATGAGTGACAGGATCACAGGCCTTGGGATGAGTGTCAGGATCACAGGCCTTGGGATGAGGGAGTGGATCACAGGCCTTGGGATGAGGGAGTGAGCTGATCACAGGCCTTGGGATGAGTGTCAGGATCACAGGCCTTGGGATGAGTGTCGGGATCACAGGCCTTGGGATGAGGGAGTGAATCACAGGTCTTGGGATGAGGGAGTGAATCACAGGTCTTGGGATGAGTGTCGGGATCACAGGCCTTGGGATGAGGGACTGGATCACAGGCCTTGGGATGAGTGACTGGATCACAGGTTTTAATATGAGTGGCCCCTTCTGCTTAGTTAAGACAGGCACCTTGGGAACTAGACTCTTCAAATGCCAGCACAGACACTTACTACAGGACTTGGACCACGTCAGGTACTTTACTTCTCTGTGCCTCAATTTCCCCTATTTGTGAGATAGAAAAAATAATGGCCCCCAATACCTAGGGTGATTAATAGGAATAAGGAACTTACTACATCTATAATAACATGATTACCTATAAAAATCCTTGTAAAAGAATGTAAATATAATATTAGCCATATTCATAGTATGGTATATTTATACATAGTAAGCATGTATGTAATAAAAAGCAACAAAATTTAGGTGTCCATAAATAAATTATTTGTCTTATTGCTGTTGCTCGGGTCTCCTTTATCTTTTTGCGGGGACAGGGGTATTTGTAAGGATTTTTAGCATTCTGTTTCCATCTGCACCTGTTCCTGCAGGTAGATTCTTGAGTTTCTACAGATGGCTGTAACATAGAGAGCAGGGATTAAATTGATGTAAACCTGGTCCTATCATTTATAAAACTATAATCTACAATGAATATCATGTAAATATTATTTCTCGGCTTCCTGGAGCATTCCTCTTTCAGAAGTTTGAAAACTTCAATTTCTTCTATGGCTTCATTTATTTTTCTATTCTACTCCAAGGGATTTTTTATTTCTGGAACAAATATCCCAAACAGGAATGCGTGAAAATATGTTTATTTGTCCAGTGGGTTGGATCCTGCAGTCCCCAGTAGCTATTAATCCAGGGAGATTTCTGAGTGAATGAGCTTCTGGAAACTATAGACTTTGTCTCAACCAGAATGAGGGCAGCATTTCCTCCTGGCTTCCTGGTCAACAAGAATCTGTGAGTTAAATATCCACCCCATAAACGATAGTGATTCCTACCCAGCCCCGCTATCAATGGCCGTGACGCCCTCACCACACACACACACACACACACACACACACACACACACACACACACGCGCGCGCGCGCGCGCGCGCGCGCACGCGCTCACACACACAAATAGCTTTGAGAATAAAATTCGCTCACTCACTCATCCATCCATTCATGGGGCGCTGGGCTCTTGTCATGCAGGAGGCGCTGTGTGTGTGAAGTTGTCCTTGTAGAATCTTCAGCTGGGTGGCAAATGTGACATTGTGTCAGCCTCCACAAACCCACTTCCTTTCCAGAAAACAGAAAACAACCGAGAACGTGAATTCACTGCTGCACTTGAGCACCGACGAGAAGACTGCGGCTGCTCTTGCAGACATGAAGACCTACTTCTGGTGTGCCCTGGCTCTCAGTTTCCTGACCGGAGCTTTAACAGGTGAGTGGCTTCTGATTAATTGTAACTTCTTATTAAGTTATAATTCTAGTGAACATTAAGAAAAACTCTAAAGTAGAAACATGTGGTGCAAATCGGTTATTTTTTGAAGGCGCAGACAATTTCAGAAGCCCTCCAGCCCATGGCTCAAGCCTCCACATGGCGCTGTCAATGTGGAAGGCACTGAGTTTACATTGCTTCTTTTGATACTTTGTTTTAACATGAAAAAGCATGTTTCAACAGACCATTAAATTTTTAAATTACTTGCTCAAAGTTACCTGTCAGTGGATGAAGTAGAAGACTGGCTTCACTGTTTTCAGAGAGAAATAAAAGGCAAGATAACCTGCACCAGCAGAATGAAAATTAAATAGCCTCAGCCCTTGGGCTGGGAATCCTTCTATGGAAGAGAATAAAGTGGATGGACTACAGAAGAAGAAGTTTGGCTTTCATCTTACCTGGATGGTTCTCTGTCTTAAATGCATAACTGGCCATAGGGTGTTGCCTTTCTTGTCTTTTTTTTTTCTTGTTTATTTTGTTTTTGTTTGTTTGCTTGCTTTTTGAGACAACGCCAAACCAATCCTGGATGCTCTTGTAAGGTTTTTAAACACTAAATATGAGGGTCATCCTGAAATTCATCAAAAAGGGGGCGGGGGAGAGAGCGGATGACTAAAAGCATTCACTAACCCCTGTAGACCTTAAATGGACTGGTGTCCTTATTCTTTTTTGTGGGTTGCATTCCTCAGCCTGCATGTGAGCAGATTAAATGGGGGCCATATGCAATGTAAATTATTACACATTTTTGTTGCTTTTTATTACATACACGTATATATTATTTTTCCTTTTTCTTCTTTTACTATGGGTCCTGTTCTTGAACTTGAGATAAGTGGAGTGAAACATTATGTAGGGGAAAATGCCTTTAATAGCAGAAGCAAAAGCAGAATATCCGGTGTATTAAGTCCATCCAGAAATGCATTTTCAGTGATACAAAGAAATAGACATTACTTTTCTCTCCAAAAAAATGTTAAAGCTAAAACTGGGCTATTTAACTTTGGTTTTGTGCTATCTCCCTTAAGAAGAATGAGGGATGAGCAAAGAGGGCCATCCCTCATTGGTTTGCCTGGAATAAATACCGAGAACAGCTCTGGGCCACTTGCCTTTTCTGTTCCACACCCCTCCCTTCAAACCCTGAAATTCTGAGCAGCATAAATGACACAAGAACATCCATGGCGTGGAATCCAGTTGTTTACTCACCCACTCATCTGATCATCAGCATCCCTGGACATTTGACATGCAGAAGGTGTTGTGCTAGCTGTTGTCTGAACAGTAGTGAGGAAAGCCAGGTATGCCCACCCTACCGAGACTAGCTGACCACAGGTGAAAGAGACATCAATCAAATAATCCTTTAAACTTATGACAAGTACAGAAAAAAAAAAAAAAACCTCATTTCCAAGAGAGTGTACCAAAGAGTTGGGGCAGATAGGGAAGCTGTGTATGTAGCTGGAGTCACACATTTTTTTAGCAATGGCACTTTGAGTTGAAATTGAAAATACAAATGGGAATCAGTAGGGATCAGTGTCAAGGTAGGAAAGAAAACTCTACGGAAAGTCAATGCAAAGTATCCATGGTGTTCAAAAGAAGGTTAGAGGGCTGGACCAGGGAAGACGCAACTGAGCACAGGAGGAAGAAGTTGGGGACGATGCCAGATGAGGCTGGAAAGGAAGTTAGGGGTCAGACCACAAGGACCTTACGAAAGATTTTTCTTCCAAGAAAATTTACAGAAGTTGTTGCATGGTTTGTTTGTACTGCCTCGAAGTTTTCTGTATAGCAAACTTCTATGGGCAATTACGATGGTGGTGTTACAATCAAGAGACTCGTGAGAGCAGTGGTGCTATTGCTGTAGGAGGGTAGATCCAGCCCCAGGATTGCCACAAGGTGACAAACTAAGCTGATCAATAAATTCTTCTGGAATAGTCACCTGAGATCCTAAAGGAATCAGACCAATGTTAATTATTCTTATCACATAGAAAACTGTATTATGTAGAATGCCATTTTCCAGAAACAGGTAAAAACAAACAAACAACAAAACAGAGGCATGAGCAGCTTAAAGGAAATGATAAACACATAAACAATAATCATATTCAAAGTGACTCCCAGGGTACATATACCCAGGAGTTCCTATTTTCACCGCTAGAAACGCAGAGTCAAACTCAAGTAAACAAAGCACTCATGGGTCCTCTGTAATCATTGTAATGCTTCCAGCTCTTGGCTTCCCATGTCACGGTTATGTGGGGACGCTCACCCCAGTGTGCCCAGCCCCATTGAAGCAGGAGAGAAATACCACCCATCTCCAGGAGGCACGGTTCTGACCAACTTTGTTATTTAGTCAATGAAGTAAAAAGGCTGAGTTGTGAACGTTCCCGGTCTCCATTGGATCTCAATCTAAAATTTAACAAAGTCTTATTCCTTTCATGATGCGGGGATAGTAGGAGGCTCTTCCTTTATGGAAGAATCTGCAGGAAGAAACTATACTTGGAGAGCTTCCTCCCAGGCAATGGAGGTGTTGTGGGCGACCTGCTGAATTCCAGCTTTAGAGAGAGACTGCTTTGAAGCACTGTGGAGAATGCAGCCAGTGAAAATAATTGCTAGTAGGTGATTTCTAATAAATACATGTCTTCTATGTGTCTCAGGAAGCCAGGAGGGTGACTCTCAGGCTCACTTTATCTGTGACGGTGACTGAAGTTTTAGAATTCTACCATCTTGGGAGAAACAGTCCTTTGGTGTTTTTAGCACCAGGTCCTCCCCACAGAGAGGTCTGGGGAAATGGACTGGCCTCTGAGCCCCTTTCTTTCAGCCCTTGTTTACATTACATTAAAAACTGTGCACTAGCAACCTCTTCTTTGGGTAGATGAAGCTATTTTCAGCATGATAAGCCTTGAAATTATTCTCCTAGAATGTATGCATTTACCTCTTACTTTTTTGTGTTATTGAATCTTGTCTTTTTTCTTTTATGTTTTGTCAGAGTAGTAACATTTCCTTTTACTATTCTTTGCTTCTGGTGAATTGGGAAGGTTGATGATTCTCTTTTTAAAAAGAATTATTTGTTTTTGTTCTATGGGATTGGGTGTTTTGGTTCACTTAGGTCTATGGACCACATTTATGCCTGATGCCCATGGAGGCCATAAGAGGGTGTCAGACTCTTCAGACTAGAGATGGTTGTGAGGCAGGATGAGAGTTCTGAGAATTGAACCCTGAGCCTCTGGAAGAGCAGCAAGTGTTTTTAATCACTGAGTCATCTCTCCAACCCCTGATGATGTTTCTTAATCTATCAGGTCATTACGTTCAGAGGATTACAACTGAATAATCTGTTGAATTGATGCGTTGTTGGGAATTGAACCCAGGATCTTATGCCTGCGGAACAAGACTCCTACCTCTGAGCTGCATCTCCTGTCCCATTAGAAATAAATGTAGCTATGCCCTGGCCTGGCCCCCCACTTGCACATTGGCCTGAGAACCTTGAAGTGCCCTCCTTCCCTCAGTCTCCCGTTGGCTCCATCACTGGCCCATGCATGGATTTTGCTAAACTATTGTCAAGTAGATCATTGCCATGTTCTGTCTTGACAGCGTCCCTTTCCTGTCTCCCACATCCTTTCTTTACCCCTCTATCACAGAACTGCCCTTCAGTGACAGCACCGTGTGGGTGCTGCTGTCTTGTGACCTCTGTTTTGCCAGTGCTCCAAGGCCTTCCATTAGTCCCAGCACAGGGGACGCTGTCCTTTGTCCCTATAAGGTGACTGATATCTTGCCTGTGAGGGCGGGGTGTTCTGGGCTGCAATCTCTTTTCTCTGGAGATTTTTACCCACTTTTTGTGACCTTCTGGGTTGTGCTAAAGTGCTTTATGTTAGTTTGAGTCTTGTTTTTCTTTACCTTAAAAAAGAGAAAAATCCTTTTAAAATTTAGTACAAAATAATTTTTGAGACAAGGTCTCATGTAACCTAGACTGGCTTTGAACATCCGATTGTCTTTCCACCACCTCCCAAGTACTGGAATTACAGGTATGTGCCTCCACTGGCCTATGTGGCTGGAGACTGAACCCAGGACTCCCGGTATGCCATAATCTATTAACTGACAAACTGCCTTACTTCTAGAATTTTGTGATCTTGAAAGTTTTTCATTGGAATATGGAAAGTTATTCATTGTTTAATATTGGAACTCAAGAATTCCTTGCTCATACGGCTTATTTTTCATGTATGTTCCTGAATTTTGTATAGGAGCGGATACTTCTTTGCTATTTGTGAACTAAACTTTACTCTTTATTTTAGGTATTTTTTTCTAGTGTTTTTGATGACAGTTTCCTCTCTGTGTCCTTTACCCCATCTTTTTTTCCTAGAAATCTCTGTTCCTCTCATGTAATTTTTTTTCTCACCAAAGTGAACAAAATGAAAAATGTTTTCATTTTTATGCTTATTAACTACAGCTTCTTTAGATTTAACAGACCCTTAGACATTCTAAGTTACCAGTACCTTCCTAGTAACCCACAGGCACGCAGGGTAAAAACCAACTTTCGTCTTAGTTTTGCTCACAACACCTTCTATAACGTTCATTACTTGATGCAAAAATGTTCACATCCATATATGTGGTTAAACCGTAACAAACACCACCGTTTATGCAGAGTAGTGTTTTCCTAGTCTAGGGTCATTCAGTTTGAGACATAAAGGGAATTACCAGGCTTCCCAATTTTTAAAAATATATTTAAGAATCATTGTCACATTTTCTACATTAATGGTGACTCTGTGCTGTTATTCTTCTAACAAACTAAGTCTGTCAAGTGGTAGATTTTAGCCATTTTGGGAAATTTTATAAAAATTCAAAATTATGCTTTGAAAAGTGGTATGTAAGCATATACAGACTAAGAAATATAGATTGAGGCTGTTAGACAGACCATATTTGTTTTACTAGTTTGGTCTCTGAAGTTATCTAAAACAGGCAATGATATGCAAATTTAA